GACTTTTTTTGTTTAACTTTTTCAGTCCTGGGTTTGAACTCAGGGCCTTGTGCTTGAAAGGCAGGTGCTCTGCCACTAAGTACACCTTCATGCTTTTTACTGTAGTACTTTTCAGATAGGGTACATTATAATAGGAATGTATACTGTGCCTCAGCTTTGTTATCGTTAAGCATGGGGTCTTGCTAACTTTTTTGTCTGGACTAACCTGAAATCTCTTGTCCTACTCCCACTAGATAGGATTACAGGTATGAGCTTCTGTGCTCCACCTCAAGTATTTCTTTTTTTTTTTTTTTCTTTAAGTTCAGTTCTATTTCTTCTGGAAGTAAGTTTTCTCCATCTTTATTTAGAGAATATAATTGTATTCTATATAAGAGATTTCTATCTTTTATTTCCTTTCTTTGGTTTTTATTCTACTCTTTTATAACATATAAACTGTTGTTTAACACATTGATTTTTAGCTTCGACCCCTTTTTTCCTCTTTTATATACTCTTTTTAGGTGCATTTCAGAAGTTTCATTTGTAAAACTTTTCTGCTGCTCCAGTATGATTCTTTTGGATTCGTGTTTTAAATTTAGAGTAATGTTTTTTTGAGTTGTTTTGGTTGTTTGATTTCTAAATTCTTGCCAGAGAATGTGATCTCTTCCTCCCTCCCTCCCTCCCTTCTCTCCTCCTCCTTCCTTGAGTTTGAACTCAGGTCCGCAGGTTTGCTAGGTAAGTGTTAATACAGGTGTTTATTACGATTTTTTAAAATTTGGCTCTTAAGTTTGGCCCATTATGGTGCTCAGTTTCCATAAACATTCTGGTGTGCTTCAAATAATTTGTATTTTTTTACTTTTTAATCTTTATATCACTGCTCATTTTTTCTGCAACTTATTAGTTACCATTGTTGATTTTGGATTTATCTATTTTCCTAAAGAGTTAATGGTTTTTATCCTGTGTATTTCAGGTTTTATTTTAGGTGTAAACAAATAAAAAATTTTTTTGGCAGTAATCAGGATTTGAACTCAGAGTCTTAAGTTTGCTGGGCAGGCACTCCACCTTTGAGCCACTCTGTCATTCTAAAATTCTATTACTAGTTAGTTAAGCATTTTTTTTCTTTTAGAGTTATTGACTTCTAATCTCTAGTATGATTTTTAACTGTAGTCTGTTTCTCTTTCCTTTTTTTCCCACCTCTTATGCCATCACTGTTGTGTGTTCTAATTTATTTTAGAGACTGTAGACATTGTAATTTCACATGTGTATCAGTGATTGTTTTAAGTTGACCCATGTATTTGTCATTAATTTGCTCATCATTTCTTCTTTCCAACTCAGATATTTCATCTGGGGAGATACTTTTCTGCTGGAAAACATCCTTTCGCATTCCTTGCAAACCAGTATTTGTTTTGTTTTTATGGACTTAATACTCTGTTACTTAAGGCCTGATATTGAAAGACAATTTTATTTGGTATGTAGCTATTTGCTCTTACTGCACTGTGTCTGGCTTTTATTTTGAAGACATGAGCCCTAGTCTAATTTCTGTTTTGTGGATAATCTTAATTTTCTTTCTGGCTGCTTTGAGTATTTTCTTTTTCTTTAGTTTCTTTATTTGACTGATAGACTTAGGTATTTGTATTTTAAATGTATCAGATGAGAATTTATTGAATTTCCTAAATATGGTTAGCACTTTTTAAATCAGGTTGTGGAAAATGCTAAGCTATTATTACATTTTTGAGTGCTGGTCATAGATCCCAGGTCCTCATCATGTAGTCAAGCATCCTACCACTTGGTGAGCTACATTCCAAACCCCCTTATCTTTTTTTTAACAAAAAATTTCAATACATCTCTTTTCAATTATAATTCTGTCAAATCTATCTTCAGTTTTCTTTTTTTCTTTTTGTGGTACTGAGTTTGAAGCTCAGGAGTTTCATCCATTTGAGCCACTCTGCCAGCCCTTTTAGTGTTAGTATTTCTGAGATAGGGTCTTGAGAACTGGCTTCAACTGAGATCCTCTTGGTCTCTGCCTCCTGAGTAGCTAGGATTATAGCCGTGAGCTAGCTAAATCTATCTTCAGTTTTAATAGCTGTGTTTTTTATTTCTGTAATTTCTACTTGGCTCATTTTCAATCTGCTCCCTCACTAAATTTTAATAATGTCTGGCAATTTTAAGTTTAAGTTTTCATGGGTATTATTCCACTGAGTCTTTCTTAAGAAATATACTGCATTGTGTGTGACACATAGCAAGTACTTAATAACCTGTAACACACTAAAATATTAGAAATAATAAAATACATTATGTGTCCATTATGAGATGTAATATATATAATTAGAAATAATGAAATACATTTTATGGCCATGATGAGATGGATTGAAGCCAAATTTTATTGAGGAATAGATGTGAAATATAGCTAGAGTAAATAAAGAAACATACCATAGCGATAGAAGCTGATTAAGAGTGCTTTGTGCTCATTTTATGTTAAACTATATGTTCTATCCAATTTTAATAAAAATTCCAATTAAGTGTAACTGTTGGATTTGACAGAATTAATGTAAGTTAACATAAAAAGAACAAATAGTTGAGGAAAGTATTTATTACTGTTTTTAACCTTTCAGTTATAATGATGTTATTCCAGGATTATTTAGGTACTAAAAACAAAGTGTGATTTCTTGATCATCTGTTCTTCAATGTGAATAAACTAAAAGAAAGAGCGTCATTGAAGAAACTCATTCCGTAATAATGATACCAGGATTTCAAAAATCTTTCTTTTGCTTTAAGACAACAGGTTTGCATGGGTACTTTGTAAATCAAAGTGAAAATATTCCTACAAGCTTCTCTTTCTCTCTCTCTCTCTCTTTCTCTCTGTCTCTCTGTCCTCTCTCTCTCTCTCTCTCTCTCTCTCTCTCTCTCTCTCTCTCTCTCGACAGACTTTTGTCCTTTCATTTGGGCATGGTCTAATTTCAGCACTGGGAGCTTTATCCATCTAAGTAGTACAGATAATTTTTCTCTAGGCCTTATAACCTTAACTTCACTTTACCTGATGTCCTCTTATCATCTTAGGCAAGAGACTTAACTCTTTATTTATTCATGTGAGTATTTGTTGAACATTTACTAGATTTTAGGTACTGGTTTAAGTGCTAGGGGAAAAAAAGTGGCAAGGCAGACAAGTCCCTGCTTACAAAATAGTGGGTAATATATGCTGAGATTTATAGGTGCATTGTGCTTTTGTGGGTTATTTAATCTTTTCAAAAGCTATATGATTGGTGAAATTGTTGTTCCTGCTTTGTATATGAAGGTCTAGATACTTGCTTAAGATGGAGGCAAGGTCCCAGAAATGGTTCTGGAATCACATCACCCGTAACGTGTGACCCTGAGGCTCAAACCCAGACAGAATAATACACATAGCCTTCTGCTTACTCTTGTCCACACCAGCAGTCACTGCCTCTTGTCTGGGGCTATAGGAGATAGAAAAGTTGGATTTGGTAGTTCTGTGGTGCTGTGCTGAGTTAAGTATTAACCCTTTTTGTATCATATTGTTTTCCCACAAGACCTTAAAATGTACTGTGTATCTGTACCTATAAAAGTGTTTTTCCAATGCCAATCAAAGATCATTGTGCTAGAGGCACATAGGTACCTTTCATTAAGCTAGTTGTGCTTTAAATTTATCAGGATTAAAATATTAAAAGACGTTTACCCTTAGTTTTATATCTGTTTAAATATGTTATAATGTATATGTGTGGTTTATATCTTAATTTTTTGTCTATCTTAGGTTGATTTGTATTCTTTAGTTACTAGTTTAAATGGATGTAATTGTTTTCATTGAGCC